AGCAGGACTGCCTGGGGTTAGAAGTAAGATTCCAACACCCAGATGCCAAACTGCTTGTAGGGGATGTCCTGTCTTCCCAGAGGAGGTAGCACGATGTCAAGCCCCGTCTGAAGGAGTGTGAAGAAGACACTCACTGATCATTGACAAAATGAGTTTTAGAAGAGATCTCGAATTGGTGATACCTACAGTTCCAGTTCCAGAATTTGGCTTTGCATTTTTAGAGTTCTTAAAGCATTCAGAACATCGTTCTGACTGATTTCACTTGCAGTGGGAGATGCCTTGTGCTTCTGTGCGTCAGTCTGCACTTCTCATGGAGAGGGTGAGACACAGGTAGCGGTCGTTTCTAGGAGAACTGCGAGTAGATATTTGCCCAGTGTCACACAGAGATTTCTGTGACACGGTGAGGACAGAATCCAGTGCACTGAGGTCATTTACGTCTTTGACTTTATGTCTGATCAGTTGTGGTACTTGGAAGCATGCAGAGCAGGAAGCACAGCTCGGATTCCTGCGTGGAGCAGCAGCATCTGCACAGTTCAGGGACACTGGGAGGGAGGAGCAATAATACATGAGCCTGTTCTTGGGTGTGATGACACAAATGAGAAGTTGCCCCATGCGTTTTATTAGTCCCTAGCTGATGAGCACGTGGCTGCATAGCTCTGTGCATACAGACATTCACCTCTAATGTGCTATTTTCTGAAAGCAAAGACTTCAGAAGTGTTTTAGTGGAATTTTACTCTCCTTCCTCTCTCCTCCCCTTTCTTTTCCCCAGGGTTATCAGGCTGGAAGCACTCAGGTTAACAGCACAAATCAAAGTTAATGACACGACTGATGGTGCTGGCAGAAAGCAGATGGGTTTCTAACTATAGAGGGCAGGTGTATGACAGTGAGTGGGACGATCGGCCTGTGTGTCTCAGGGGTTCATGGTGACAGCAGAAGAGCTTCAGGACTTTGGATCTTTGGTTTCTACCCCTGCTTCCTGAAAGTGAAATTGGGTTTTTTCAAAGCTGTAGTTACAGACCTGGTCTAGGCAGGGGGAACTCGTGGCCTTGTTTCTGGCCGTCACATTTCTGCTCTAAAGCATTAAGTTATAGAACATGATCTACCCCTCAGCCTTCTCTCTCCAAGCTGGACACACCAAGTGAACTCAGCCACTCCTCTAAGTCTTGTCCTTGAGGCCTTCTTCAGGTATTGGAAGCTGCTTTAAGGTCTCCCTGGAGCCTTCTCCAGATAGGGATTTATTTTTCACTGTTGGGAAATGTGCTGCTCTCAGTGTTTGAGATGGTGCTGATGAAAGTTGTGAGCACTGCAATAACTAATCTAAATGTGTGTTTTTATTTCGTAGGCTGGTAACCAGCACATATATCAGCCTGTGGGCAAACCAGGTAAGCAATAAATTCATGCACTGTCATCTCGAATCCTTGATCCCAAGTCTTGTAGCAGCAGTGAGCAAACGTTTATGCCAGTATTTTCATACAGGGGGTGGATTCGTTTCCAGGTGACTGCACAGAGATGTTTCGATGCACCAAGTGTTTAGTCCCCAGAGATGTAGTCAGCAAAGCCAAGAAGTGTTTGGATCAACAGGCAGAAAGTGTCTAGAGGAAGCTGAGTCACTGTGTAGGACTTCACCACGTGTGGAGTTCAGACATGTAAGACAAAAGTAGACACCTAAATTTGGGGTTCTCGGTGTCACAATGAGTCACAGCCAGGGTTTCTGCCGTGCAGAGGTCTGATGTCCCCAGACACACACAGCACGTGTGGTACGAAGGGGTGAGTACCTCTCAGCTCTGCAGTAGGTGCGCTGAGATGAGTAGCAGCTGCCCCACAAAGGGAGTTCTGCAGGATCTTTTTGATGCCTGTAAGACACACAGAGACGTTCATCTCTGCTCCTACAGTGAAGCCTTTGTAGGGTTGACAGAGCAGAGTTCTGCAGGTGCATCTGAGATGCTGCTCCTCTAAAATGCCTCTTGTTGCGTTAACCAGATCACGCAGCTCCGCCAAAGAAGCCTCCTCGCCCGGGAGCCCCCGGGCACTTGGGCAGCCTCGCCAGCCTCAACAGCCCCGTGGACAGCTACAACGAAGGGGTGAAGGTACGTTCCTCAGTGCCGCGTGAAGTGCCCTCCAGATCAGACACTGTGAGGTAGTTCAGTGTTCCTGAAGTAGAGACTGGGACTGAAGTGACTAAACCTCCCCAGTCAATGTTGTCATGGGGCAGACATGCGCTGGCAGCTCTCCAGGGAGGTGGGGAGTTACTGGCAGGGTCATATCCTCCTCTACTGTGATTCAGCATGTTCCTCACCTAGAACTTTTCCCAGGTGAGCTTATGAGCATATGAGACTTCCCTCCAGACTCAGCTTCCCTGCTCAGCAGCTTTGTTAAGCAGGAAGGAGCACAGCCACGCTTCCCAGTTACTTGGTTGTACCAAAGCCTTCTCTCCTTGGTCACACAGAAGTGAGACGTGTATGAACTGTGGTGCTTAAAAACCTCTTGCTGCAGCACCAGGGCTCCTAAAACCCTACCAGCTGTGGGAACAGGGGTAGAGGGGAAATGGGTTGTCTGACCTGCGATTGAGGTACATTCTAATGTGTTACTTCATCTCCACTGAATAGGCAAAAAAGCCAGAAATGAAACTTTACAGTTTTCTAGCAGAGAGATGCTGCAGGGTGCTGTGAAACCCAGTGTCCTGCCCTTGTTCATAGATTCAGAGGCTGGTTTGGGTTGGAAGGGAGCTTAAAGCTCATCCAGTTCCAACCCAGGGACACCTTCCACTAGAGCAGGTTGCTCCAAGCCCCTGTGTCCAACCTGGCCTTGAACACTGCCAGGGATGGGGCAGCCACAGCTCCTCTGGGCACCCTGTGCCAGTGTCCCACCACCCTCACTGTTGCAGTTGGTGTCAATGGAACTGCTCCTTAGTATGTCCATCACTTCTGAAATCGTACCTGTAGGTGCTGTTCCATCCTTTGGGACTCTGTTACCTTCCAAATCCAGAGGAAACACAAACACGAGTGACCTCAGGACCTTTCAAGGGGGTCTAGTGGAGCTGTTTCTGATGCTGGCGGTTCCCAGCAGCTGGAATAGTGGTTGGGAATTCTGTCAGGAATAGTCTTAACAGGAGTGCAGCTGATCTGTATAATGCGGCTGGACCAGCGTGCCTCCACAGAGGCTGCTGGTGCGACAGCAGCGTTACTGGCCAGAGCATCAAAGCAGACTCCTGCTGCTGCTCCCGTTCAGCCAGCTGGTGCCATCAGCAGCGCCCAGGGAGGTGATGGGTTTGTGTTCCAGCTCTTGCCCAAGAGGAGAGAGGTGGGATCTGCATCAGAGCACAGGCACCAGGGCGATCCCTGCTGTAACAGTACAGCTCCTCATGGAAGGAGAACCTGTGGCTAATCTAATCCCTGCCAAGCCTGTAGTAAAGAACAGGAATCCATGTGGTGGTGACACAGCTATTGTGATAAGCGACAATTCCAGGTGCTTTAACAAAATGCAGGAAAAATCCAGTTCATCTGACCATGAAGTTCAAAACTTGCCACCAAAGCAGCACGTTCAGCACAAATTGATCTCAGCCACTGCCTGCCTCCCTCTTGCTCTCTGTTCTGAGACAGTGGAATACTTAGGGATGAGCAGTGGTGAATTTGAGCAGGGTTATTTAGCAGCAGCTGGTGCCAGTGCATTTCAAGGAGCCAAGCCTCAGCAAATGTCACCAGTCAGTAACAGGTAATAGTCAGTAGCAGATGTGTCACTGAACTTGGTGTCTCTCAAATTGCCTTTCTAAATGCTGATACTGGAGCATGAAACATGCTTTCTGAAACACATCAGTTTGACAGCAAACAAACCTGAACAGCCAAAGTCATCAGTAATAACAAGTGACGAGAGATCCATGTACTAAAGAGCTGCTTCAGTAGAGAAGAAGGGCTGGTTTGGGTTTTTCTGTTGAGAGAAATGGGATTGCTTTATTGCCCCTTCAAGAGAACAGCCCGTTGTTTTTGGTAGCTATAGCTTTGTTAATGTCTGCAGTCCTGAACGTGCTTCAGGGGTTCACTTCAGCCTCCTTGTTCTGTTACACCCATTCCTGACTCCCTTTTCTGCAGAATATAGAATCATAGAACCACAGAATAGTTAGGGTTGGAAAGGACCTTAAGATCATCTAGTTCCAATCCCCCTGCCATGAGCAGGGACACCTCACACTAGACCATGTCACCCAAGGCTCTGTCCAACCTGGCCTTGAACACCTCCAGGGTTGGAGCATTCACAACTTCCTTGGGCAACCCGTTCCAGTGCCTCAGCACCCTCACTGTGAAGAACTTCTTCCTTAGATCTAACCTAAACTTCCCCTGTTTAAGTCTGAACCCATTACCCCTTGTCCTACCACTACAGTCCCTAATGAAGAGTACTTGAACCTCTTGCCCTCAGGAGCCTTTAGGGCATGCACAGAGAAGGGAATACGTGGGTTTGTGTTACTCGCCAAGGCAAAGTCACTCAGTCCACACAAGGGAAGTCCTGACTTCACAGCCTGCAGAGCAGTGGTGGTGTGTTGGGTCTAAAAAATCAGAAAAATGGGGTGTTAATAAACACAAATTTCCATAGTCTTGAAATGCTGGGGCCTGGCTGTAGGAATGAAGTTGGGTAGAATCCATCTAGGATGGGTTCTTGGTAGTTCTGGGCCATAACTGTGATCAGTCATCGCGAACAAGAGCTGCACACTCAGATGCCCATGTAGGTTCTGTCATGGCTCTTCTGAAGGAAAAAGAAGAGATTTGGAAAGATCCTAGAAGCACAGAATGGTTTGGCTTTGGAGGGGCCTTTAAACTCACTCCACCCCCA